AGGACAGAGTCCTGTCACACACCTCCCATGTCCAGCTTAGTTACATCCAGGCTCTGGAAAACAGGCAGATGAATCATCCCAACACCTCTGCAGCTGATTTCACGGTCTGCAGCCTGGCATTCATCAGGAAGCTCAGTCATGTTGAACTGTGTTTGATTGGTGGGAGGCTCTGTGGCCTCTTCCTCTACTTCCTCCTCTTCTTCCTCTTCCTCTTCTTCCTCTTCTTCTTCCTCTTCCTCCTGACAGGAAATGGAAAAATGTCTCTACATTGGGAAATAGTTGGTCTTGAATAAAAAATTTCACAATAAAATCAAACCTCTTCTTCATCGCTGTCCTCCTCTTCCTCCTCCTCATCACTGTCCTCCTCCTCTTCTTCTTCTTCCTGCCCCTCCTCTTGTGTTTTTCCATTATCCATCAGTCGTTTCTTTTCTGCATGAAGTTCCTTGAGCGTAGCCATAAGAAGGCTGGTCTCCATCTCTCCCTTCATGCTCTGTCTCCATCCTTTAAGAGGTTGGCTTAATCCAGCCTGTGAAACATAGTTGACACGGTGGTAAATAAAAATAAATATATTAAAATGATCCTGAAAAATGCTTGATACTTGCTATTCTATATGCAGTGGTCTCTACTGTAGCGGCGTGTCTTCTCCTCCCCCAGGTGCTTCTCCTTCCTCGACCAACCTCTAGCTTTTGTGGGACAGCTTCCCTCTGATCCGTCTTCTCTCCTAATTCCAGTTGAGGCTGCACTTCTGCACCCGAGTCTTCACAATAAATACATACAGTCAGTGAAAAAATTACAGCTAAAGTCAAATGTTAAAATACAATTATTAAAAAATATTTTATAACTGGGCCTGTTAGTATTCTTGAAATTATTTCTGTTTTTTTATTCTTTTAAATATTCTTTTTCCAAAATCAGACATTTATATATCCTCAAAACTTAACCAATTTATATTAGTTTACATTTACATCTTTTCAGCTCTTCATTTTTTAGGTGTATCAAGGCATTAAGATAAGATGGCCACTCCGAATAATTGACCTTGCTGTTCTCTTAATCCCCTTTTTAACTAATAAGGGTTACTCTCTACTTGGAAACTTCCAGAATCATCCCCACAGTCATCTGTCTTTTTATGTATTTAGTAAATATCAGGTTCCTACTCTATATAAGCAGGACAAAAAAAAAAAAACGTATACGTTAACTTTGATATTTTTTTCAACATTATAAAAAAAATCAAACAGGCAGAAATAGAAGTTCCATATTCTCACCAATAACATGTGGATCCAAACGGTTCTCTCCTGATTCAATCCTCCATGGATGACTAGTAGCCATTTCCTTTTCAGGTGCATCAGAGTTGATTTCTAGCATTGCGTTTAGTTCATCAACTTCTTTGCTTTCCCCTGAAAAAATGGTGCCAACTACAAAAATGATCACGATCCATATCCTTGGAATTTGCATTTTTGGATTTTAGCTTATTAAAGTCTAGTTTAGATCCCAGGGATGAATAAAGAACTTAAAGTCTGAGGTAATATATAAAAAAAGAAATTTTACGTCAAATTTAAAACAAAAATATTGTTAGAGCTTTGTAAAGCTGTTTCTTTCTCTAAAAGTCCTTGTATTACAGGATCGTTTAGTGAATGAGGAGAGAGAAAGAGGATGGAAGAAAAGTCTGGGAGGTGGACAGGTTGAAAAATAAACTCTCCCCATGCTAATAAAGGCCCTCCATCATTATACTAGGAAGTATAGACACGCCTTCTCGTCCTTGGCTCCTCTCTCTCTGGCTTTCTCTCTCCTCTGTCAGCAGCTTGTAAGTTAAAAAAAATGTTTTCTTATGTCTGTTATAAAACCCCCAAAAGAAAGAAATTATGGTACAGAGCATTCAAAAATAGATAGAAAAGTTTATTCAATCCGTGTTGACTGATTTAGACGATGAGGAGGACAGAGAACATGTATTTTAAACGCTGCCAGCCACGGACTAGAGTTGATAGACAGTTCAAGTCAGAGACATCCATGTTTGGAAAGGCTCCACTAGCATCCACATACTAAAACAAACATGAACTCTGAGGAGGGAACAATAAAAGCATCTTTACCTTCTCTGCTTACCTACTCTTTATAAACTGTGCATCATGACACTCACCCTTTGCCCTGAGCTCAAAGAGGAGGCAAGATGGGAATTTTTACTGCTTCAATAACTGTAATTAGCTGCACCTGTATGATAACAATGTATTACATACTATTTATTAAATTTAGCTCATAGAAAGAGTGATGATTCTCACACATTAGGTGCAGCTGTTGGGACAGAGGTGCTAGACATGGTCCAAATGGCACCTGGGACAACTTCACACTAAACACTGAAACACTCAGGTCCTGATGCGCTCCTCCAAGGTAAACAGTAGAGTCCACATATTCATTTTAGCTCTGACAGGAACATGCAGTAATCTCCCAACCGCATTCAGCACCCCACTGTAACCCCAGTCTAACAGCACAGCTAAATTACAGTTCTGACTCTAAAGGATGGGGCTAAATTCTGATTTTTTTCCATTCATACACTAAAAAGGTTTGCTTTGCTAATATGAGTTGTTTGTACAGTGGAGAAATACAGACAGCAGAGCCATGGTGCAATTATTAATACATATAAATGCTGTAATATGAGGTTATTTGGTTTTAAAGCAAAAGAAACCTAATTGGAAACACTGTAGGGCGGCCATGTTTAGACAAGGAGCCTCATACTTCCTCCTCAAGAACCAAAACTAAAGTTAAAGTTTTTCCAGTTACAGTGTAAAAAACAGAAATCCCATTATAGACCATTTTAAACTCTAGCTAATGCTGGTTCAAGAGTTTCTTTTTGTCTGCTCACTGTTTCAACGCTCAAGGCATTTTTATATGGTAGAATAAGACTTTTAAAGATCATTTTAGAAACACAAAGTCCAGATTTGCAATTTCAAAAACAAGAAAAAGTCCATTACAACAGAGATATATACCAATCATGTATATATTAAAGATATGCACATTTAATGTCATATCAACTTTATAGCACCAATTTCACATGCAAAATACAATCTGGTTCACTCTAGCAATTCTAAAATGCAAGCTAAGGCAATCCAGGTGATTGGATTAACCAGAAAATACCTCTGGTATCACACACACACTGATAAAAAAGAAATCAAGGATGACCTGCTTGGGGTTAAAAGGGCAGAAAGAAGGCAAGGGGAAAAAAATTAAAGCACCAATTCAGAGTTTGGTAATGGAAAGAAAAACCTGAATGGCATCACCTTTATCCTATCATTTCTAGATATGAATTACCTAACAGTTTACAAAATCATTAGAATCAAATCAGACTAATGCAGGAGATTTGATATTTGTAAAAAAAAATTGTCAGTATATTGTACCAAGTATAAGTGCTGCTTAATTAGCTTATTTTGGTTTATTTCACACACTTGCAATGAGATTTATGTTTAAATACATTGTGATACAAAAGTTTTCTGCAGCAGACATTTGATAAAAGTGGTTGACATTTTGATGTAGTTGAAGGAAGCTGGTTCAATTATGAAGATAGTGGCAACAAAGTACCTTTAAAGCAAGTTCCTCAGTCTGCAATATCTGTATACTCAAATACACCAAATCAAACAGCCAGATTAGCCTAAAAAAATATTTGCATTCTGCAGAGCCTTCCTAGTAACTTTGTTTTGGTATACAAAAGGTAGATGGAGGTCTCATCTCCAAACAATCATCCAAGGACTGGGCTTACTGTAAATGTCATGTTTAAAAAACATTTGATAGAGCTCTTTTGATAGCTAAAAAAAAAAAAAAAACATAAGTAAATTTAAGATATTCTATATTCTGAACAGTAGCCATACTAAAATGCTGTTTTCAGATACAATGGTAATTTTGCACGGTATCAAGACAGACAAGTGTGGCTGACATATTTTAAACACATTTAAGAATGCCTCAGAACCCTAAAATTTTAAATTGTAGTCACCTTTTTGAACTTATTTAACTTGCAGCTGTGATTCTGTTGGGAAAGCCTGTTCCAAGTGGATTGAAAAAGGATTCTTCATGTTTTACTTTCTATGCCTGCATCTTTTACCAAGTATCAAAGTTTTTTTTTTTTTTTTTTTTTTTAAACAGGCAAACCTGATCCATTTAAATGCTTTAGAAGTCGTCATTTCATGATGATAGAAACTGATCTCCATTGCTAGTATTTTCTTCCACGTTTAGAAAGTTCTATTGTGCTCCCAGAAAAAAAGCAGCTTATAATTATACTAACTTCCTCTAAGATGCTTTGGTATTCGAGTGAAATTAGAGGCTGATGTGTCTAAATAAGACAAGAGGTCAAAAGATTAAAGTCAAACATTCCTACCAATGTTCAAAGGTCCTGAACCATTAGTGCTATCATTTCTACACAGCATCACTGGACTGTTCTTAATGTGTGATTAGAAACAATCGATAGACAGCAATGATTAAAAGGACAATTCAATGTGTTTTGCCATGAGTTTTTTTTAATGTTGCAATCGGCAATGACAGGTGAGACAAGAAACCCTCAACACCATCAGCATTGTTGCATACGTGGAATGTTTTCAGTGTAACTTAACTCTGAATAGAAGCAAACATCTGTAGCTCAGCAAAAAATATTAAAGGCTTTCACCAACACTACAGAAATGATCTAGTACATTACAAGAACAGCAGTAACGGTGCTTTGAAAGACTTAAGACAAAATAAAAAACTGAAGACAGAAAGCCATGCCCTAAAGTCATAATCAAATCATGTACCATTAAATTTTACAGTAGTTTGCTGTTATCTTCAACAAGGCTTGGAAAACAGGAATGTCTGAAAGAAAAATTAACATGAAAATTGCTAAAAGCACATCAATCTGCTCTCTGGTCAGATGTAATACAGGGTTAGTGAGCTGCAGTTTCAAAGCCACAAGATGGCAGTAGAGAGGTTAAGTGTGAACACTGTGGCAAGTAAATGGTTGGAGGTTGGGATGAAACCTCAGAAGATGGTAATCTTTAGTTTGCAAAGGTCTGGCGGACAGCAGCTACGATGTGCTTGGCACTGATGCCGAATATATCCAGAAGCTCTTGAGGCTTTCCACTGCGGGGAACAGCAGACACTGCCAGGCGGGTCACCATGATGCCAGGTTCTTCTCCCACTGCAGACAAAACTGCTTCACCGAGACCACCTGAAACAGAGGGACCACAAAGACTCCTAAGCATAGTGGCAAGAAGATTTAAAAGAGTAAAGGCACCAACAATTAAAAAAAAAAAAATTTATTTGGAAAAGGCCTTAAAATATTAGTTTAAGGCTCAAAAGAAGCCACTTTAATGTCATAAAATCAGATCTATAAACTGTCCTCCAGTTGAACAGCCAAGAATCTGACAAATATGCTTCCACCATTATGATTTGTAAATCCAAGCATAAGAAAATAAATTCCTTTCCCCACAAAATATGTGTGGTCCAAAAACAAGCATTAAAAAAAGCAAAGAAAAATCAAACCAAACTGATCCAGAAACCCTACCCTCCTTGTAGTGGTCCTCCACTGTGATGATGCGCCCTCCTGTGGCTCTGGCCCGGGACAAAATGGTTTCAGCGTCCAAGGGTTTGACAGTAAATGGGTCAATTACACAAATGTTTTTTCCTGCAAGTTTAAGAAAACTGGTTAACCAGTGCTTTTGATTTACAAAACAGACATGTCTCTCTTCCTTAAAAAAGAAGTGGAGTTACCTTCACTTTTGAGTGTATCATAAGCAGCTAGTGCCTCATGCAGAGTGACTCCAGCTCCGATGACAGTCGCCACATCATTGTCAGACTGGTGCAGCACCTGGTGACCGGTAAAGTAATGTCAACATTCTTGTCAAGGAGACACTTGTGATTCGACCACTTTTCAGGAAGGGAACCAGTAACCAGCATTTATCACCTTTGCTGTGCCCACTTCAAACTTCTCATCTGGTGAGTAGATCACTGCAGTGGCTGGTCTGCTGGTACGAATGAAGCAGATTCCCTGAGAACAGGAAGCATTAAGTTACTACATAGCTAATGTCTGTTTACAGGAAAATAAGGCAAGCCGCTCACCTTTGTGTTGGCAGACAGCTCAACAGCCCTCTCTGTAGACACTGCATCGCTTGGATAAAACACAGTGCATGTTGGTATGGCGCGGAACATGGCCAGGTCCTCAAGGGCCATCTGGGAGGGACCATCCTCACCTAAAGGTAGAATGAAAAAAAGACAAAAAAAAATACTGATGGACAGTTTTCTCATTTGACCTTAGAAAACCCTATGGGTTTAAAAAAGGTGCATGGATGGTACACAACATTCTGTACAACCCTGCATGCGCATTGCAGGGGACAAATCAAGTGCTTTTAAAACCTAAACAAATGCAAAACATATACAGAACCAAAGGGCAAATATGTGCCAAGTGAGTAGTAGAGCCAAAACAAAGCAGCAGTCCCAGCTGTTATTGAGTTCACTACATTAAGCTTAATTGTTCAGCTACAGTGAACAAAGCAGGTAAAATATAAAAAAGCTGACCATGCTGTTTACTAATTAAGGGGCTCAGCTTTCATATGTGCATTTATCTTTTTAATTACATTTTTGAATTTTTTATTTTATATATAAATATGAAATGAGGCCTGTAAACACCATGACGTTTGCATGGTAAAGCAGCCACATACTTACCAATGGAGACTCCACAGTGAGATCCCACTAGGTTGACATTTGACTGGGAGATGGCTCCCATACGAATCTGATCATAGGCTCTTGAGAAGAAGGCAGCAAACGTGCTGGCGAATGCAACTGTGCGGTCACGAGTGGCACAGCCGATGGCCACACCTACCTGCAATTATGAACAAATACAGTTCTATAAGCAACCCTAAATGAAAACTAATCTGATTAAATGAGATCTAAACATTTAGAGCTCAAGGGAAACATGTCCACAAGTGGCCAAAGAAGCTGGGATTAGCAGGGGTGAGCATGAGGCTGACAGGTTACATAATATGGAGCAAGAGGAAAGAACATCAAGTAGTGTGTATATCTTACCATATTTTGTTCAGCAATGAAACACTCTATGTAGCGATCAGGGTGAGCCTTCTTGAATAATTCAGAGAAGGTGGAGTTTTTTGTGTCTCCATCAAGGGCTACGACCCTCTGGCTTCCCTGACCCAGTCTGGCCAGAGCTATACCATAGGCCTGCCTTGTAGCCATCTAAAGAGAAGGTTAGAAAAAGGATGATCATCAAGTCAAAGCAAAGGAACATAAGCTTAGAGAGTTGTGAAACAAAGATGCTGATCTTTAATTATGCCTGTATTCATGAAAGGTACAACAAGTATTGTTCTACCTTGTCTCCCTTCTTGTAAGCTGGAGGTGAAGGCAGAGAGATGGGGCTAAGGTCAGCTGGTGCTGCATCAGCACTGGGCATCTTTGGGGAGAGGGTCTTGTTGGGGGCCTGGATCTGAGACTGCAGGTCCTTTAATACTTCCTCTACCTTGTCCTTAGGAATGGGCTTTCCATGCCAGTTCTCAAGATCCTCAATGTCTACAGGGCAAATGGTTAACCACTTTTAATAACTCTTACATTTTTATTTAATATGAGGAATTAAATAAAATTGTTTAACATACTTTTGAGTCCTTTTCCTTTGAGAGTCTTTGCAACAATACATGTAGGTTTACCCTTAACCTGCTGAGCATGCCAGAAAGCTTTGCACAGCTCCTCCACATCATGTCCATCCACAACATGCGTGTTCCACCTTATTTAACAACAGACACCAGATAAATGCCTGGGAAACACATACTTTGAGCCCTATAGATTCAAAGAGAATATACATTTTCATGTAATTTTGTTACTGACCCAAATGCCTCACAGCGCTTGCGGTAGGTTTCCATGTCATGCTGCAGGGGTGCAGGCTCACTCTGACCAAGACGGTTGATGTCCAGGATAGCCACCAGGTTGTCCAGCTTATAGTAGGAGGCAAAAGCCATGGCCTCCCACACAGACCCCTCTGAACACTCACCATCACCAAGCATGCAGTATACACGGTAACTGCAATGGATAGGAGGGGAAATAAGACATTGTCAGTGGGAAATCATAAATGGATTTTGAGATGGCTTTAAACTAGAAACATCAAAGGCTGAATTATTGCTCAGTTTACAGATAAAAGCGTTTTTGGTAATTAAATGCAATTTTACTTCCATCTTGCTAAAAGGCTTCTAAGAAATAACCAGCTCTGAAACTAAAGTCCTTTTTAAACTTTAATAATAGGAAGCAGTCCAAGTCTACCCAGATACATCCGTGTTCTGAATAGGCACAAAATTATTTTCAAGTTCACCTTTTAGAAAGATGAACCTAAAACAGCAAAAGGTGCCCGATGTCACAAGACCTTTAATCCTTCAACAGGTGACAGATCAGGGAGATTTTAAACCACTCAGACAGAAACTACACCCTGTGCTGAGCAATAGGTGACTAAGAGTGTAGCAGCTAAAATCTTATATTTTAGGCAACTGGATGTTTTCTGTCCTGGTAAGCTTTGGCATTACATGTGCTAAATCAAGAATATGCAGGTCTTCTAAGGAGTTATGCTTAAAGCCATTTATATTCCTATGTCCATTGTCTAACCATTTACAACAAAATAAACCAACATAAACTTCTAACTAGGCACAGTAGAAAACAGTTAACCTCTTCTCACCCAGCAACACCTGAGCAGAATGAAACTTGACCTTAAATAACCCCATCCCCATCCCAACATGATCAAAATACAAGAGGAAATGCACCCCCTAGTGGAGATAAATACAGAGAAATAAGGTAAATTGCTTCTACAAAGGGTTCACTTTGACCTCGTATTAAAGATTTACTCTAAAGAAAATATTTAGAAAAAGGAATAAGTGGACCATTGAAATTTCCATCCAAAAATCAAACTGTCCTAGTAGAGCTACCATTTTTTTCCCAACTGCCTAAATGTATTTAAGTCTTGTTAGCGTTTCCAAATTAAACAATTCAATAAAAACTGACCTGGCTTTGTCAAAGTGTTTGCCGGTATAGGCCATCCCGCAAGCAGCCCCAAGACCTTGGCCAAGAGATCCAGTAGCCACGTCAACAAATGCCAGTTTCTGGTACGAAAAGGAATAATTGAAAAGGCGGAGAGAGGAACATTTTAAATGCATTGTGATAATCAGTGTTTGTAAAAAAAAAAAAAAAAATTTTTTAAAGTTGGTTATATCAACTTACTGGTGTGGGATGCCCCTCTAGGTCACAGTCGATCTTACGCAGGTTGAGAAGATCAGATTCCTTGACAAAACCTGCTTCTGCCCAGGCAGCATACAAGACAGGTGCAGCATGACCCTGATGAGAGTTTAAGAAGATTTCTTAAATATCAACTAAGTGCATGAAAAGGATCAACTTTTAACTAGAAGCGGCATCAGACACCAACCTTTGAGAGCACAAAGCGGTCATTGCACTGGTTACGAGGATCATCTGCTTTATAGCGCATGGTGTGGAAGAAGAGCACAGACATAAGCTCTGCAGCACTGCAGCATGATGTGGGATGGCTTAGGAACAAAACAAAAACAAAAAATCAGAAAGGGTCAATTAGTAACAGCTGGCCATACAAATGCATTATTAGTTTACTAGATAATCAGGCCCATGCATCAGTTCCATTCAAACCCTCTGTTTACACTGCAAAAGTTAAACTAATCATTGAACTTTGAAAGCACTATGTTAAGAGTGACAGAGTACCAAACACAAAATGCTGTTCAATGACCAAATCACACAAAATTTACTTAGCAGTGGCTACAACAGATAATGCTTTTAGAAGATGAGCTCAGGATTAGAAACATCACTAAAAGTCAATAATTTGTTAATTTTTAAACACTCCCCTCAGATTACCACAGAGAGGTTCTAAAAAACAGCCAACCTTGAGAAAAGCCTTGTGAAACTGTTAGTTGCTTAAAATGGGGTTGGGATTATTGAACACCCATAGAAACCCAGAATTGCCCAACAGATTTCAGCTTCCCTTTGTGGTCAAGTTAAACTGGTACCATTTTAAACATGCCTGGAACTTCAATAAATCCAATGCAAAATACAGTCAGTCACTGTTAAGTTTTAGAATCGAAAAGCAAGACACAGTTGTTGCTTTACCACTTTTCCACTTGTCAAGACAGAGTCTGCTGAAAGTAAAGTGAGGAAAATTCAACACAAGACAATAGGGGTTCATTGTTCTGTGTTAGTCATGGACGAGGAAACCGTTGTAGTAAAACTGGAGATTAGCTTTGTCTGTAACAAGGTGTGTGAGCATAATTTTTCACAGTCAAAGATTTCCTTATCCGAAGCCATGAGGAAGAACACAAAACTGGTTTATCCACTGGACTTTTACTTAAAGAAAAGAAGAAGAAGAAGAAGAAACAGTAATGACTTGATTTAATTGAGAAAACAACCCTGGTGCAAAACTACACAGAAAATTAGCAGGACACAATGGTCCATGCAATACAAATTCAATTACGGTTAGAATAGGAGCAAAGGGCAGCGAAACAACAACGATAAAGCTGCACCCTTTTTAATTATTCATGCTTTGACTTGTGTCAACCAATAGGGTCGCTTTATATGTGGATAGAAAACATTAGAGCAATGCTTAATAGAACAGAAAAAGTTAAGCTTAGAATTGCTGTTCTGTTAAGTAGAATATGTCATTCCTCATTTAATCTGGCATCTTATTTGATGCAGCAGTTAACCTGGTTTTTATACTCCCCAACTGTAAAAACTGATATTAAAAGGTTTGTTCTTCTATTTCACATCTTGGATACCACTTTTGTATGATTCTAAAGCAAACCCTGGCAAGTAGTAGATTTGTTTTTTCTTCATTTTAAGTACTTCTCACTTACAAAACCATCACAAAGCACACAAATATAATACACAACCTAAAATTAAGCACCCCCAAAGAAACTTTAATTACTGTAGAGTGGATGCAGATTAATCAAAAACCAAAAAAGAACAAAAAAGAAGGCACTGCTGTGACATCAAATAATTAATTTTTTTTAACTGATAGCTTTACACATATCAAATCTTCCAGCACCCTCTTAGCACAAAAATCTACAGCAAAATCTATGTGCATCAAAGCTAATAAATGTCTGATTACTGGTGTTTTATAGAAACCCCAAAGTTCAATTAGTTCCAATATTACAAGAACAATGTCCTGTTTATAATTTATACTGTCCAATGTTAGTACAGACCTACCACATTTTCTACACCTGATGAAATATGAGGATAACATTTCTGAATTTAAGAACACATAGTTTAATTTAATTTTATAATTTCATTTTCTGTGACACTATTAATTAATTAGGTACAGTTCAAAATACATGTGCAGTAAGGGATACATACAACAAGCCAAAGGTTTATAAATAAAAAGTGTAAATGTAGAAAAATAACTTAATTATAAACTCTAACGGATGCAATCCATTAACCACGAGACCACGGTTTCTACAAGAGCATGTGATAATGGGTGAAGCGGCTAAGAATCACAGCTTTCTGAATTAACATCAATTAAAGAGTAAGTTTATGGTCACGCCTAAAGAGAGCATCAGTTATACAGAACAGGCCTACGTTAAACAAGCCAAACGATAAACATTTCTTGAAGCTAGTCTCTCCTGCTCCTCTAAAAGCAGCCAACATTAGCAAACTCCCCATTAACTCGCAGCTAGCTCTGGCTAACTCACACCCCCAGAACATAATCTCCAGCACGTGCAGCCAAACGGCCGCGCAGGTACAGGATACCTTCATCGTTACGGTACCGCTAACCCTTGTCTACTCGTACAATTACAATCGAACACTGACAAAGTAACTTTGTGTGACTCACCCAGAGTTGGACGCGCATGTTGCTTTGATGGAGTTGATCCTTAGCTTGTTAGCAATGTCTTTAAGTCCCTGCAAAGTCTTCTCGTCGGGTTTGTGGTAGCTAGCCATGGTCTTTGGAAATATAAATGAAAGGCTGGGTTTGCTTAAAGAGTTAATAAAACTTTCCTATCCTGCGAAAGACTGCTTTCTGGATTTGAAGGCCGTCGCTAGCTGACAAGCGTAGAGAACGACTAGAGGAGGAGGAGGAACAGGTACTGTCACGAGAGGTTTATGTCTACCAGCAGAGCCAGCCCCCAGCCAATCAAATCATCGGATGGGGGCTGGACCCAGCGAATCAAATCATCGGATGGCGGCTGGCACCCAGCCAATCAAATCATCGGATGGGGGCTGGCGTAAAGCAGGGAATGATACGCATGATAAGCCTTTCGCCGTCTTCTCTCAGGCCGTTTTCTTTATTAAACCGCAGACTGTATTGACCATTATCGACAAACTTTAGATATAAACGTGATCAATAAAACAAGTAAACAGATGGGCAGAACAACTACGCTATAGAAACGTACAAATAATTAAATAAAACGTATCAATATGACAAGAAAAACAAATACTTTTTGTACAAATATAAGGTTTTTCTGCCTTTTTTTAATATAGTGTTAATTTTTTGAGTTGTTATTTACTTGATAACAACTCTTTAAAGCAAAAAACATCAAAGCATGCTTTTATTTATTTAATTATTATAAATGCCTTTATTCAAATTTGTTTGTACAGTAACACAAAAAATGAATCCTTAACAGACAACCCTGTAAAAAAGCAAGTTGTGTTTACACTTCTGTTATTTGTCTTTTCCCATGTAATATAAATACAGTAAAATACAGCAAATAATAAGAAAGAGAAAGGGTATTAATTGGAGTAGTTTAACTAGGATGTTGTGTCATATGAGATATCTTAGGTATTACCTAGAAATGTTTAATCATACATATTAGCCCGTGTTTATAATGCATGCATTGTCTACACACAGTTATAATGTAACTGCTCCTTTAAATCTGAAGCTGAGAGACTGCCTACAAGGAAGTAAAGTCAGATTCTGCCCCATCATCCTTACTCAGGGAAAGAAGAGTGCAACTAGAACAATGTACTGTTCACATACAAGATCCCGTTTCCAGCCCATTTTATTCCCTTATGGCCAGCTGTCTTGTATCAAATTACCATTCATTGCAATAAAATTAATTTAACTGAATTGTTTTTAATTGCTTAAATGTTAACAAATTCTGCAGAGCAATTATCACACAAGACATATGCTTTTCAAATAAATGTGCAATCAGTGTTGCAGCTTCCTTCTTAAAAAAGTACACTTCCCCATACTAGCCATCTTTTGAAATCTTATGGTGCAGGTATTTCCTCTTCTTTAAGTTCCTGAAACAACACACATTTGTATTTGCATACAGTGATGTTGATTAAATACAAGAACAAGAAAGTGATGGGGGAAAAAATGCATATTCTCACCCTCATCGCCCTCCGAGCTTCGGTTCTCTCTTCAAGGCTTACTGTGACTTTGTTAATCCTGTCCAGCTGAGGCAGCAGCATCAGTACTCCCATTCGATAGTCTGTTTCCTCCAATGGGTTTTCAGAAAGGACCAAAACTCTGAGTGTTTTTGCCACAAGGCCAAGGCCTTCTAAGGCTTTTTCATCAGCGATTACATTTCCTCTAAGGGAGAGAAAAATAGAAGTGTTAAAAAAGAATCTTCAAAGACATTTATTTACTGATTCTCTGTTGGTATACTTAGGAACTATTTTAGTTCTCCTGTTTTTACTACAATACCTGACATTCAGGTACTGAAGACTCCTCATGTTGGGACTGAGCCCATCCAGAGTTTCCAGATGATTGTCTCGCAGATGTAGAGTTGTGAGGCATTCCAACTTCTCAAGACCCTCAAGGCGTTTGATAAGATTTTGAGCCTGTGGAAATAACATTTTTGAGCCTGTGGAAATAAAATGTATCTGCTATATTCAGTTATATTTCGATAAATTAATGTTTAATTTATCGAGCTTACAATGCTTTTATTACCAGATATAACTTTTGCAGGTTTGGAAGATCAATGCCATCAGTGGTATCTAGGTAGTTTCCTCTTAGCTCAAGAGTAACCAAATTGGCAAAGACACCACTTTGCAAACCATTTATTGTCTTAATTCTATTACCTAAGAGAGAAATTTCAGAGTGTTACAAGATGTTTTAACTTATTTCAGTTATTAACAATTGATTTGGTTTAAAGGATATATGATTATATAAATATATGTGAGATCTATATGACTGTTTTTTTTAGTACATATGTGAAAAGGAGAGACCTTGAAGTATGAGGGTCTCTAGTGCTGGTCCAACCAGACCATCTATGTCTGTTAGCCGGTTTACTGACACACTCAGCCATTGTAGAAAGGTAAGCTCAGCAAAAGGTTGCCCTTGAAATGATACCAGAGCATTCCTGTCAACCTGCAAAAGAGAAGATGTAAAATTTGGTGTTCACCTACGTATGTAAACATACTAATTTAGTAGTAACGTTCTTGCCTTCAGCCAAAGCAAATAGCTCAGAGTTGCCAAAGGAGAAAGATCAGCGATGTAGTTGTTTGATAAGTCCAGATAACGTATATGAATATAACTACTGATTGCAGCTATGTCAGTCAGCGCTCTGAAAGAGAGACACAAGAAAAAAACTGTTTGAAATCTATCTGAATGCAAAAATATTTTCTCTAAATCTGTTCTTGGTATTTTATTATCATAAGACACACTTTCCAACGGTTAAAGGAGTATTCTGACACTAAACTTTGTCTCACCACAACTTTGCTTACTTTTCTTTAAGATCCAGTTTGACAAAAGCATATTCTAGATACTTCTCTGTCCGGGAGAGTAATGAAAGCCCCTCAGTGATCATGTCTTTGCTCAAGGGACACAACTGAATCTGAGGAAAAACAGACATAAATCAGTTTCGTACCATCCCTTATTGGTTCTTTAACTCTGAGACAAAAATGCTTTCAACACAAAAACAGAGAAAAAAAGATTAGATGCTGGCATGCTGGGAGCAATTTATGTTTCAATGTCTGGGTTAGGTCCTGGTGGTTAAATATTGATCTGAAGTCAAGTTTTCCTCGTATAACCAATATATAAGCTGTGCCTGTATCCTTGATGATCATTGAGCTTTTCAGGTATTCTTTTTAGGTTGGGTTGAAGACTGCTAAGGCTGCACTAATAAATAGGAAGAAGATAGACAGATTCGTACTGCATCTGCCAAAAATATCAAGCTCTACTTGGGGTTGGTATGTTGAAGAATAAGACAAACCAAAAAATGTATACTCTTAAAAGCTGAGCATGAGCTCTACCAACGGTCATAAAATAAGCTTGTACCCAGGATCTATGTCTTTCAATTATGAAAGACATAGATCCTGGGTACAAGTTACTACTACTACAAAAAAAATAAAATAAAAAAAAATCCTCCCAGTAGACTGAACAGATTTTAGTGAAATATCCTAGTCTACTGTAGGGAATTCAGGTCTTGGTGCCAAAGCAAATTGGCTTAATCATTCTATTTAGTAAGTAAAACATATCAATTAACTACACTTATACTAATATGTTCAAGCCTTTGTTGCTGTTTAAAATGACTTTATGCTTCTATCCAAAGAAGACACAAAATCTAAGATTAGAATATTTCATCAGATGAATCTAAAAAAATAAATAAAAATAAATAAAAGACTATCTTCTAAAATGTTGTTTAATCTGAGAAATGAGCCTCATCAGAACACACACTCATTTGCTGGGTATGACTGTAGATAAGGAGAGGAGGGGAGGGCTCGGGGAAAAGCTGCTGCTAAACTGCATTGAAAGAAGTCAGCTGAGGTGTTTGTCATGTGATTGGGATTCCTTCTGAGAATTTGAAACTTTTCTCTATACCAGAAGAAATGTCCATGTCGAATCCTGCTAAAGCAATGGAACATAAACGGCTAAAAAAAAAATAAAGGGATCACTCAAAAACACATCCTAAATCTGAATAAATTAAATATTCTCATTAAATACTTTGCTCTGTACAAAGTTGAAGGTGCTGACAACAAAATCACACAAAAGTCATCAATGGAAGTCAAATTCATTAACCAATGGACGACTGGATTTAGAGTCACACACAAAATTAAAGTGAAAAGCACCCTACAGGCTGAACCAATTTGGATGTTATGTCCTTAAAAAAGTCTAAATGAGGCTCAAGATTGTGTGTGGCCTCCATGTGCCTGTATGACCTCTCAAAAACGTTGTATTGTCGGAGCATCCGCCAACTCCTGGACAGTCTATGTTGCAACTTGACGTATGTGGATGGATCAAGACATGATGTCCCAGACGTACTTAATGAGATTCAGGTCGGTGGAACGGGCGGGCCAGCTTCAATGCCTTCATCCTGCAGGAACTGCTGAAAGACTCCATCCACATGAGGTCTAAATGCCAACCATCCTGCACAGTGTTGGGATGTGAGCACAACCCCCATCTGTGGACGTCAGTCCCTCAAACCATCCACATGGAGTCGGTTTCTAACGGTTTGTGCAGACAAATGCATATTTGTGGCCTGCTGGGGGTCTGTTTGCTAGGGTCTGGCAGTACTCCCCCTGTTCCTCCTCGCACAAAGGCAGAGGTAGCTGTCCTGCTGCTGGGTTGTTGTGCTGCTATGGCCTCATCCACGTCTCCTGGTGTACTGGCCTGTCTCCTGGTAGAGCCTTCAGCCTCTGGACATTACAGCGAGAGACACAGCAAACCACCTTGCCTCAGATTGCATTGATGTGTCATCCTAAATGAACTGCACTACCCGAGCCACTTCTGTGGATTGAAGAGTCCTTCTCATGCTGCCATGATTGTGAAAACACCACCAACATTCAACAAACATCAGCCAGAGAGCATAGGTACAGGGAAGAGGTCTGCAAGTCCCACCTTCAGAACCAATCCTTTGAGTGTGTCTTAATTTCCAATAATTTCCAACCGTTGTCTATTCTATTTAGAAAACAGCAAGTGGAATCGATTGTGAATCAGTGCTGCTTCCTAATGGTGCGTTCTGACCAGACGCTGTCTGCGGCGAATGTTGTGGATTCACATAGAATTTCTATACGAATGGCACAGGGAAGAGCGGCGAAGTAGCCATCTGTGAATCCCATGTGGAGAGGGCGTTCATTGCTCCGCCTTCACCTCGTGCTATTTGATAGAACTGAGCTGTTGTCAAACAGCATATAGCTGAATACCATCATGGGGAACAAAGACATCTAGAAATCCCTCCTTGGCCCCCAGTGATCTGATTTCAGATAAACATAAAGCGGAATGGATGAACTTTTAAAACCAACATTTACAGTTCGACTGTTTGTTTTGGATAGCAACAGAGTTAAATTTCGGTCCAATTTGCATGTTTTCTAAGCCATAACATGGCTTTTGTTTTTCTTTTCTATAAAGCCTGGAGATCCACACTACTCAAAACATTTTAAATTGAGAAAGTTTCCTGGATGGGAGCGAAACGTCTTTAAAGTTGGAAAAAAAAGTCCAGTGGTTTTGTTTTCAGCTTTTTTGGGAATGACTATGACCTGGATGACTGAGCACATACAGTTATACCTTACTATATACTGTATGTGCACCTGGTGAAGAAAAGCAGAAACATTGGTAAATGTACAAAAAAAGACATTTCAAGAGTCTTCATGAGTTGAGGCATGCTGAAGACAAAAGCAGCATCAGGGTAAAAAAATAAATAAATAAAATAAAATCAGGTGGGGGGGTTAGGTCAAAAACACTAAATTAAGTAACAAGCTAAGAATGATCTAAACAAGTCAAAACTGCTTTACAAAGAGTGTTACTTTCTTTCAACAGTTTTTTTTTTGTTTTGTTTTTTTACAACAGTTGAATTATGAAATGAATTTATGACATGATGTGGAAGGTGTTGCAACAGTTGAACATTTGTTTTTTTGGACTATTGTGAAAGATGTGTCCAGTAATCATAGTCCAGTAATCTTAGCAGACAGAGGTATGTTTAATACATAAATGGTAATTGGAAGGTTCAATCGCCTCGGAGCAGTTAAAAGAGGAATAAGAAAAGTGCTGTAACCATCCCTAAACTCATCTCTTAATGAGGAAAATAATTATGCAGAGTAAATGTTTTTGTAGTTTACTACGGAAGAGGATTGCGGCCATTGAAAGAATAAAAAAAAAAAAAGTTAACTGATATTTAAATATTATTTCAGTTTGATATGGGGAAAAAGTCCGAATTCTGACTTTTTTCCTCAGAATTTTTACTGAATTCTGACAGCTAACAAACATGTTAGCATCAAGCTGTAGTCATGTCTGTTTTAGAGATTAGCTCTCTTGTTTTAATGACCTTCTGCTTCTCCATTAATAAAATAGCATCACAGGGGACTCCTCAGGCATGTAAAAAGTTGCCTAATTTCGTCATTTTTCAACAATGTGTCACTGGCCCTCCCAAACAACTCACATCTTTGTCAGTGAAGCAGAGTACTCCCACATCTCTTCCTTCATGGTGCCCATCTACATTAAGATCCAAAATTAGGAGATTAGTCAGAATTCTGAGGGGGAAAAAAAATCTGAATTCTGAGAAAAAAAATTATTCTGTGATTAAAGTCAGAATTCTGAGATTAAACCTTTATACGGCAAGTTACCAGTTTTGATCACTTGCCTTACTAATGGAGTCCCCCCGTCCCTCGGTGAGGTCTACAAGCACTATATCTATATCCAGCCATTCTGCAAAGATCTTGCTACATGGCTGTACATCTTACTTTGGCATTTGACCAATTAGATGAGATCTTGAATGATATATTACCTACTGTAAATTAAGTTGAAAAGTAAAAGTAAACAATTCAAGAACAAAAAAGGTAAAAAGCTAATTGAAAAGTAAAGTTAGAAAGTTAATAAGCCATAACTTAACATAAACATAACATAAATGCCTCTAAGGTTATGTTGGACCAAAAAATNATTATTAGGGGTGGTCGAGGCGATCGCCTTGGTCGCTATGGTGGCTCTCATAATGATCACAACTTCAGGGACATGGACTATCGTGGTTATGGGCAAGAGGATGAGGAGGGAGTCCATGAAGTCAGAATGGAGGATGATGGGTTATACATGCCTGATGAGTCGCCTGTAGGTGTTCATGAGTTCCCAGCAGGGTTTCAAGGTTCCCCACATTTTCACCGAAGAGGAAACGCAAGAGGTGACATGGGCCGTGAGGGAAACGGCCCCCTGTGGCCTCCCTTTTCTCAGTCACATCCTGATGGTGCACATCTCATCCTTCAAAGTGAGGATGACGGATTCAGACAAGACTTTGAGCAGATACAGAGCAGTCTGCAGGGAAGGGGTCGGCAAAGAGGTGGAAGAGGGTTTCCAGAAAGCAGGGGTTCGTGCTCCGGGGTGAGGGATGCTAACTGGGTTCCCCGTCCTGAGCAGATAGAGTTCAGATCGAGAGATGAGGACAGGGGATCTCGTGGCGGTGGAAGGCGGAGAGTAAGTCCAAAGAAAAAATCAATAGTTTGCAATGCTTTTTTTTTTTTTTTTTTTTTTTTTTGCTTGTTTTTTCCAGTGGCCCTAATCCTCTTCCGTAGTTTTCCAACTAGCAATGAACACAAAAATACGATCGATGTTTATCCCCTCTGAAAGTCAGGTTTTACAGCGAGTGCACATGATTTTAGAAGCAAAATCGTAAACAACGTTCAGCTGATTTAATTGGATAAAAGGTTTTTGAATTATGCCGACAGTCCATTGGAGAAGAAAACCAAAACAAAACGACAATCACGGGCCAAGCGGTTAAAAAATAGTAAAAGTCCGACCGAGTACGCCTCCAAAGAAAAAGTGAGCTAATAATTTATATCATTTTAAGATAGTTTTCAGAAAATATCTGTCAAAATTCCTATCAAAAACCTCTTTGTATGTAGATTATTACCCAAATTTCTCGGGTGGGCTGTCAAGCGGTTAAAAAGCGTGACTGAATGAATGCACCAATTTAGTTTGCCTACAATAACACAACTGTTATGAAAATGTAAAGAATATGTTGTTTCTATGTCTAAAACCCGCTGATCGATGGTCAAAATAAATGCTTGCCGCGTCGTTCCGCCATAAAAAAAAAAAAGTTTAAACTCTCAGTACCTCATCAAGATCTTCGTCTTCTTTAAAATCATCCAATCCCTCTTCAGACAGGGTATCAGAATGTGTGTCAGACATCGGGAATGTGATATTATAGTTAACCTGTCGGTAGAAATAGCTTTTAAAAGTATTAACCAGGCTTTAAGATGAAAACCTGTCAGTTTGTCGCTATGGCGGCGGCGGATGAACTGTTTGGTTGAGTTACCATGGAAACCACACAAGCTCAGCCAACAACTGTTAGGCTTGATGCTCTTTATATTCGGGATGTTGCACTACATTTGTTAACTTCTGCAACAGATTCCGTTTTTTGGTGAAAAAATAAAAATAGATGAGGAAATTTCTTAAAATGTTGAGACTTATCGATTTCCCTTAATTTCAATTACATCACATTGGCTTAGATGGAAGTGTTTCTTTATTCTTATTTACATTAGCTTAAAGAAACAGTCACATTAATGGACAAATACATTGACAAAAATAATGTTATCTAAAGACAATTATTTCAATGTAAAATAAAAGTGAGAAACAATGACCCTTTTTTAAATTTATCTACAAACTAACGGCGAAGCAAAGCTTTATCAAGTTCAGGGGTTAAAGTGTTAGCCTGAACAGGTGAAGAGAAGTGCTCACCTAAAAATATACACTTTATGCCCAGATCATTCATTTACTGAGTGACAAGGCATGCATGTTTAAAGAAAAACCAAAAGAACATGGTGCATAGACAGATATTACAAATTCTCATTCGCTAACAAAAATATCTGTTGTCAACTGATCTTGAAATCTCAAGCAGCAAATATTTATCTATGCTAACAAATTTTATTACAAAAGGTAATGAGAAATGAAAACTGCATTATGTAGGAAGCAAGCAAAAAGGTGCAATTTGTGCAATATTCCAATGTTTACTGCTACAGGAACACTTCATGAGACTATTACCATAGTTGAGGTAATTATTATATTTGTCCAAAAGTAAGAGGTTCTATAAGATGTTAACTTTAAACAAAATATATTTCCTGTGGCAGGAGAATTTTTAAAAAGCAAGTGGTTACTCCACATGCATGTTGCGCGACAGGAGCCCCTTCTTAACGCCTCCTTGCAGCATCCTTTCACCAAGACTGGTTCCTGACACATCTCTAGAGAAGTAAAGAAAGCACAAGTTAAGCACATGCAACTGGAGCAACCTGATTTAAAGACAGAAAAAATCCTTCAATAGCTTCAAAACAAGTCATTTTACTTTTCCTACTTTTAACAGTCAAAGTCTCTTACGTTGGACTAAACTTCCTCTTTTTAGCTTCTGGTGGTTCACCTCCATCCATTTGTCTCTGCATCAAAAAGTTAGAACATTCACAGTTAATCCAGTGAACATTAGTGTACTTATCACCCATTAAAGATTAACCAACCTCCTTGCCAAAAGCTTCCATCTGAGCTTTTCTTTGCTCCAGGTTTTGCTGAGAACACAAAGGTGAAAGGTCACAAAACAACATACAGGCAAACTTGCCTTTTTTTTTTCTTTCATTTAAGTCCGTCATATTTTGGGTTGTTTTAAAAGAAGAAAAAACATTAGGAATAAATTCAAGATACATGTAGAAAGAGAATATATACATTTGTCAAATCTGCTGTAATCAACTACAAAATAATATATCCTTGCTGTTGTAGTTTTTTTCTATTTCTTTTAAAAATAGATGTATTTTACAAATTGTAGATGTTTGCTAAGTATTACTTTATGGAGTTCAGAGAGCTGTTGGTGCCTGATGAGAGCCTCTTTGCTGGGGAACTGCCTTCGACAGAGCAGACAGGCCAGCTTCACCCAGTCTGTCAGTCTGCCTTCCTTCTCGTCTTTGTCTGCTCCTTCATCTTCACTGTCAGTTTCTGCACTGTAGGCCGGGACCAGACCAGACTGCTGAGGTGGCGAATGCTGCTGGAGTCAAGGCAGCAGAATGAGGCATAACATAAATATGTTGCATTGACATATCTTAGAGATTTAAAATAATAATAATAAAGATGCATTTTTCTACAGTATTCAACTATATGCATACCTCTGTACTTTGTCGGATCTGGTCCAGAAAACTCGGAGTTCTTTCAGACAGCGCGCCCTAAGAGACGGAACATTTAGTAAGTTTAGATGGATAATTAAATCTACTCTCTCACACATTCATTTCTCTTCCATCCTCCTCAGGATGCGCTGGCACCTTTTTCTCCAGAACAGCGTAGCCAGCATCAGCACTTGCAGACTCCCTGTAATCGTCCATGCGTCCTCGGGAGGAAGAGCCGACAGCAGGTGACGAAGAGACAGAACGCATGTTTTCCTTTTGCCTGTTGAGACTTTTAGCCCAGCGCTCCATATCTTTGGCAATCTGGGAAATACAGAAAATAAATAACTGTGTAAGAAAAATATGTGTGGGTGTAAAACGTTTTTAAATCAGATTAAAAGAGATACTAAGATAGAGTCTTTTAAGAAAATATTAGAAACTTTTCTTAACTGAATTGTGCACAATAACATAATAAATTTACTCTGCAAACGTGACAGATCTTAAAGTTTTATCTAGTTTGTGGCGTACCTGTTGAGCAGTTTTACTCTTCGGTTTCTCTTTCTTTTCTTTGCTTGCAGTGGTGTCTGAAGAGGATGCACCATCCTTAAGAGTGGCTTCAGCGTTTGATTGGCTGGGAGCAGGAGTGTAGGTTTGCTTCTCTCCATCCCAGTACATGTACTGCTGAGTGTTAGAGTTGTAGTAGTACTGTCATGAAGAGATGCCCAAGAAGAAGTGATGAGGGGTTAATGAAAAAAAATAAAACACTGCTGCTGTTTGCTCTGCAGTCTGACCAGAGTAGGTAGATTACCTGGGAATTTGGGTCATAATAGAGTCCTGTGAATGGGTCATAATAAAAACCTGAGCTTTCCTCATACTGGTAGGTGGAGACATCTGGTACAGCTGAAAATAGATACAAATAAAATTATGCTAAATCCTACTTATCAAATTTTACAACCTGCAGGTTTGCTATAGGTATGTTGTAGATTCTTCCTAGAAATCACTCACGATATTGTTTGAGCTCATGTTCAGTGCCGGGGGTGGCAGGTTGACTTGGAGCAGCTGGTTGTGGTTTTCCAACAATCTCAACCTGTGGGAGGTACAGCTCTTAAACCACAGAACAATAGACAGGAAAGATGGGAAAGAAAAGAAACTACATACCTGTGTGGCTGGTGTGAGGATTGCTGGGATGGCAGACAGCTGCCCAGCTGCTGAACCAAGTTTTACAGCCTCAGATGAAATAACAGCTAAATGAGCAAGAAAGCATCATGGTAAAAAAATAAATAATAAAAAAGATACAGCTTTACAGAAATATATAAAAGGCCTCCTTTATATCTTAGAGAATTAATCACACCAACCTGGGTTCCCTCCTCCTGAGTATGCTCCATTTAGTGCTACTCCTGCACCAGGCAGGGCTGCAATCCTGGAGTCTGTGTCTGGCCCAGGGTAAGCCTGCCCCTCTTGAGCATAAGTTACTGCTGCCCCCTGCTGGTAAACTGCTGCACCATCACCTGATCCATTTGGATTGTTCTAAAAATAAATCATTACAAACATTAAATAAACATGCATTTTAGTAAGAACTCCTTTATTTTCCAGTAACAATAAGGGAAGTTGGGCAGGTTACCTGTGATATAGCCCACTGGGCAGCAGCTATAGCAGTGCTGGCCACTGTAGCAGCGCTCACTCTGCTCCCCTCAGTCACAAAGACGTCACTGATGTAGACAACAACAGAGAGATTCTTCCTTATTCTAGTTAAACCCTTGCTTAAGCAATCTCCTTTAATCTCACGCTATTAAAAAAATTAAAATAAAAGTTATTTGATGATGCAGACTCTTAATATTCTAGATATATTTTACCGTTTGGAACCTTTGGCAAACTCCACTACAATAGCCTTGCTGTCAATAGACAAGGGGGGCTGGAGAGCCTGCAGAATCTGAAGCAGCTGTGAGGCCTCCTGTTGATAAACAAAGGTCATAGAAAAATTATTACCCATGTTAAAGATAAGTTCATTTCAGGATATCAGTATAGGAAACTAACAGGTTCAACCATGCTGTGTTTTTTTTGGGAGGGGGGGGACACCCTTAGATATGTCATTTAGCAGATGACCTAAAGTCTAAGGAAAACAAAAAGGCAGATTCCTTAATTTCAAAGTCATGAACCCACAACTGAACTGGAGGTGAGTTCTGATGTGGCTACTATTGATGCAAAAGGATGTGAAAATTAGATTAGCACATTTAATTACACTTTTACAGAAGTCTACCTAATTAAACCAGTGGCAAACATACTACATACTTTATGTTGTATTGCTAATCAACAACTGTGTTTTTTTTTTTTTATTAGATGTGATATTTGCCCACAGTAAAACCCAAACGACAACAACAATCCCTGTCAGAAGGTTCTACAGTTACACTAAAATAAGCGAAGGGCATTTTATTTACAAGACAATTTATCAAAACCCCCTTTTTTTATTCTTACCACTATTGTAGAAAGCTGCAGAAAAGCAAAGCCTCTATTTAGATGTGTGTGTTTATCCTTGATCAGGCGAACGTTGGAAGAAGAGAGGGTGGCGAATGGAGCCAATGCCGACAAAATGGCTTCGACTGTCGTATGAGGACCAAGGTTTCTAAGAATCAAAGCTGTAGACATGCAGACAATGTGAATAATACCTACGTAATAAGTGGTAGAATTATCCTTTTTAAATTTAAAAGCTAATTTTAATGCCTACTGTCATTTGCAACATCTGCTGGCTGCGGAGCAGGACGGGGGAGAACACTGGGACCAGCAGGTTGGTAGGACACTGGCAGAGGCAGCAAACCTTGGGTCCCTTCCTTCTGAACCACAAGAGGCACATCCTTTGGCAACTGTGGCAGCTTCAGCTCAGCCTCTAAGGAAAGACAAGACACCATTAATATATCACTGCAGAAGACAGAAGAGTGTAGAGATTTATAGTACACTGCATGAAAATTTACCTGACTTTGGCACGCCACATTTAAAGCATTTCTCTCTTCTTTTGAAGTTTTGGACACCGCACTGTTTGAACGTTGAATATAGCATTAGACGACTTGCAAAATAAACCACTACAATATATGTCTGATAGAAAAGGCAATTCAAACATGAAAAACCTTGTTACAGAGCCAGTCCTCAT